TATTATCTGCATGTATCAGGTTGTTAAGAAGAATCCTGATTCCACATTCTTCTTCAGATAATCCAATTTCTCAGTTTTTTTGATCAGCATACAAACTGATTAAGTATGGTGAAGGAATATGACACTGGTATACACCTTTCCTAATTTTAAATCATTCAATGTCTTCTGATTCTGATCCAACAACTGCTGTTAATAGGTTCATCATGAGCACAAGTGTTCCGGAATACTCATTCTCTACAATGTTGTCCATAGCTTGTCATTATCGACACAAACAAAATCCTTTGCTTAGTCAATAAAGCACAGGTAAACGTGTTGTTGGTGTTCTCTGCTTTGAGCCAAGATCCATCCGACATAAGCAAGACATCCCTCATTCCACATACTCATCTAAATACTGCTTGAATCTTTGGCAGTTCTCTGTCAATGTATGTTTACAGCCGCTTTTGGATTTTCTTTAGCAAAATTTTACTTGAATGAGATATTAATGATATCATTTGGTGACTTCCACCTTCTGTTGGGTCACTTCTCTTTGGAATAGACACAAATATGAATCTCTTCCAGTCAGTTGGCTAGGTAGCTGTCTTCCAAATTTCTTGGCATAGATGAGTGAGTGTATCCAGTGTTTCATCAGTTTGTTGAAAAATTTCAATTTGTATTCCATCAATTCCCAGTGCCTTGTTCTTTGTCTATGACTTCAATGCACCTTGGACTTCTCCCTTCAGTATCACTGCCTCTTGATGATATACTACCTCTTAAAATGATTGAACATCGATCATTTCATTTTTGGTACAGTGATTCTGTGTATTTCCTCCATCTTCCTTAGATGCATTCTGCATTATTCAATATTTTGCCCATGTTGTTGTTGTGAAGTGCCGTCGAGTCAGTTCCGACCTATAGTGACCCTGCATAGGGTTTCCAAGGAGCGACTGACTGGTGAGCTTGAACCACTATAGAATCCTTCAATATTGCAAGTTGAGGCTAGAAGCTTTTCTTCAGTTCTCTCAGTTTGAGAAATTCTAAGCATGTTCTCTTTCAGTTTCCTAAATGCAAGTAATGCCACATTTCATCATAATATTTGACCTTGTCTTCTGTTTTTTAAGCTTTTATTATGAATTAAGTGATAGTTTACACCATAGAAAATTAGTTTTGCACTCAATCAATTTTGTTTCACTGCAATGATTACAATCTCCTTCATGCACAATTGGTTAATAGCATTTCCCTCTATCTTTTCCCTCCCTGCTTTTTTGATGTATACAAAAATACATAGGAATATATAATCATTTAAACAGCCAAAGGCATATTTTGCAAGATAGTCTCCTGCCCACTAGCACACAGACTTCCTTTTTCCATGAGTCTAGATTCCTCAGCTGCTCTACCTTTCTATACCATCATCTGTGTCTCTGTCTCTGGTGTCAATGCTTCTCTGGTTAAGATCCCACCTTCCACTCTTGCTCTTCCCTCTGGATGGACCTAGGGTCCTCTGTTCCTGTAATGCAAGATAAACGACTTCCCCCTTTTTGTTACACAACTTCTACCTTTACAGTTGTGACAACTGCAAACTACTCATGATAACAATTACTCACTAATGAATAAAAAACCCTGTCTCCTTTCACCATACCCATCTAGACAAGATGAAAACTATTCAGTGAACATTCTACCTTCCCCCCATTGCTCTGAAACAAAACTCCCTCTTGAAAACTTGCACCCCAGCCACTTCGTGCCTTTGTTGTTGTTGTTAGTGCTGTTGAGTCAGTTCCGACCCATAGCTACCCTGTATAGAGTTTCCAAGGAGCAACTGGCAAGCTTGAACCACCGACCTTGCAGTTCAAACTGCTTTGCAGTCTGGCACATTAGTCCACAGTGCCACACCAGGACTCCTATTTTATGTAGTCAATGTCTAAGATGCCTTTCCCTATCAACCTTGTGTACTGAGGAAATATGTTTGATCCTTGATGTGAAGATTCCTTCCCTCTCAGTTGGTATTTTAAGCTACTACATCCATAAGTGTAGGTCAAGTTAATCAAATTGTAGCAAATTGCACTTGATTCCTGTATCAAATTTCTATTATCTTTTTCTAGTCGAGTTCTGATCATCAAGTCATCCAAGTTAGGTCAAACTGGAACTATCTGCAAGTTTGAACATCCTTGCTCACCTACCCCCACTTCATATCAGCTGGGTGCTTCACTTTCAGCTCTAGCCCATTCCAAAGAGAGGTGACCCAACAGAATGCAGAAATCATCGGACAGTATCTTTGATATCCCATGCGAGTAAAGTTTTACTAAAGGTAATACAGAAATGGCTGCAAGCATACATTGACAGAGAACTTCCAGAAGTTCAAGTTGGATTTAGGAGAGGACGCCTAATGAGGGATATCATTGCTGATGTTCGATGGATCTTGGCTGAAAGCAGAGAATATCAGAAAGATGTTTACCTGTGGTTTATTGACTATGCAAAGGCTTTCAATTGTGTGGATCATGACAAGCTATGGACAACATTGCAAAGTATGAGTATTCTGGAACACTTAATTGTGCTCATGAGGAACCTGTACATAGACCAAGAGGCAGTTGTTCAAACAGAACATGGGAACACTGAATGGTTTAAAATTAAGAAAGGTGTGTGACAGGGTTGTATTCTTTCACTGTATTGATTCAACCTGTATGCTGAGCAAATAATCTGAGAAGCTGGATTATATGAAGAAAATACTGGCATCAAGATTGGAGACTCATTAACAACCTGTGATAACAACCTTGTTTGCTGAAAGTGAAGAGGACTTAAAATAATTACTGATGAAGATCAAAGAACACAGCCTTTTGGTATGGATTGCATCTCAATGTAAAGAAAACAAAAATCCTCACCACTGGACCAATAAACAACATTCTTATCAATGGAAAACAAGACTGAAGTTGTCAAAGACTTCATTTTTTCTTGTGCTAGACTGAGGCATGAAGTAATCACCTTTGAGATTCCTTCTAGCATATTTATATGTTACTAGGTAAGGCTGGTGGTTTTGAACCACTGACCTTGTGGTTAGCAGTCTTATGCTTTCCCTACAGTGCCACACTAGGACTCCTTAACAACAACAACAAAGTGCCATTGAGTGGGTTCTGACTCATAGTGATCCTATGTACAAAAGAATGAAACACTGCCAGTACCCACAGTCTCACAATTTGCTACCTTTGAGCTCACTGTTGCAGTCATGTAATTGGTGTTTTAAGTGCTGTCGAGTTGGTTCCAACTCAAAGCAACCCTGTGTAGGGTTTCTGATGCTTTTAAATCTTCGCAGGAGCAGAAAGCCTCATTTTTCTCCCATGAAGCTGATGGTGGGTTTGAACCACAGGTCTTGTGGTTCGCAGTCCATTGCTTATCTTATGGAGCCACCATTCTCCCATCTAACTGATGGTCTTCCTCTTTTTTGCTGACCCTCTACTTTATACCATCTGCATCATTAAGGTCAACTCTACTATGAGGAGGCAGTTCTTCCCTACTTGTATTTGCAGTGCCTTTCAACCTGAGGGGCTCATCTTCCGGCACTGCATCAGAAAATGTTCCACTACAATGTATAAGGTTTTCACCAGCCAACTTTTTAAAAAAGTAGATTGCCAGATCATTATTCCTAGTTTGTCTCAGTGTGGAAGTGCCATAGAAACCTGTCTTCCATGGCTAACCCTGCTGGTATTTGAAATACCACTGGCAACTCTGGGTCCACAGGCGGCGGGTACTACCCCTTGCTGTCCAATTTAAAGAGCCAAAAAGCCAAGGCTTCCCAGGGAGAACTGTGCCCAAGGCTTTTGAGTCTGGGTGTATTAGTGGGGTGGGTGTGAGGGGTGCATATGACTTCCCAGGCTGGTTGTGAGATTAGACAGTATCAGCCGTAAGTGTGGGCCCTCATATACCTGAACCCTGAGCCACCCCGTGAGAAGTCTGACTACCTAAGAGGTCTGGGGCCATTAGGACACCAGCCACAGGAAGACAGTACTGCCAACCATCACCCCAACTTCTGGCTTCTCAAATCTAAAACCCTAAAAGTCATCTTGCCTCCTACCACCTTCTCTAAGCTGTTTTCAGGCAATCCTGTCCCTGCTTCTTAGAGAAGCGACACTGCAGCATCATTGAAAACAAACTTGAGCTCCATAGTCACAAAGATTTATGTGACCCACTCTCCCTCCTCTCATTTTTATCCTTTGTTCAGCATCACATAATTTAGTAGTTAATTTTATGCCAATTTAGACTTATCAATTCTTGAGCCAATATTTGTTTACCTTTCTGCATTAATGAAGCATTGTTAGGAAATACAAGACAACTAAAATGAAAAAAAATTCCTTCCCCTCAAATTGTTTCCCTTCTGGGTGGCAACTACACTTAACAGTGTTTTTCATTATTTTCTAAAATGTTTTTGTACCCACACAAGCATGTGCATGCATGTATAACCTCAGGTGGCAATGATTTAGTGTTCCACTCCTGTCCAGCCACCTTAGCGTTGACTCTCTAACACCATATCTTGCATATGGCGTCACCACAGCACAAGTGGACTGCTGTCCTTCATCTACTGCTGAGCATCAGTGACTAACTTCAGCATCCCCATCAAGGTCGTCAAGTCACCACACTAAGGCTACTGAGGCCCAGGATCTCATGCCCTACTTGGTGTGCAGTTAAGGGCTTAGTTGTGCTTAGACTAACAAGGTCTCTGACTATTGCTTCTCAGGTGGGAGGAGGATGTGCTCAGCCTGAACACATCGGAGCCTGCCTAAGAGCCCTGGGGGCCACAGTGGGTGGGGACTTGCTGCCTGCGCCTCACTGACATTACTGTAGCTGGGGGGACTATAAGCTTCTGACCTCAGTGGATATGGAGGCCTCCGTGGCATACTAACTACTCCTACAGAATACATTAACCAGGGACACCGCCCAAACGGCACTGTCTAGAAAATGATTTTTATGACTGACACACTGCTTATGACCTCACTCGTGAAACTTTCAAAGTACCAAGTATGAGGTGATGGTTTTACCTTGTGCTTCAAGCAACTCATTCTGAGTCTCTTTGGCATCATCAGCTACTTCATCTGACTTCAAACTCTGTGGAAAAAATTTTAAAGGATGTGAATCCTCTGGAGAATGTCTAAATGGGTAGAGTATAAAGTAAAGGCAGAATGGTATTTGTTGGGTGGAACAGGGGTAACTGAGGAGGAGAACTAACAGCTTAGTACTAAAGGCAGGACAGGCTGGATTCAAATCTGAGATCCTAAAGAATCTCTCTTCCCCTTTGGCAACGCTGCTGGGCAGCATGGGGCAGCTCTGAGCATGGCTGCAGGGGCCACGATGTTTGTACACAAGCAACATGCAAACCAATTCTTTGAAAATGGAAGTGCCAGAAAGTGGAAACTGGGAACATACCTTGTTTTGTGGAAACACACCTGGGATTCCTCAACATAACCCTAAAATCATTAGCACTTCAAATTTAAAACATAATATGTTATCCTAATACAAAACAAAACAAAACAAGTCTTCTTCGGGTGCTGGCTCTAGACCCTGGCAATTAAGCTTCAGTTAACATCTGTCACATAGCACTATGTTGACATGACTTGCAAGAGCATGTCCTTCAGTATTCTGCTCCTTATCAGCCATATTGGAGACCTCGTGTGGCACTTCAGGATAAGGCGCTGGACCCCAAGGTTGGCAGTTCAAACTCACCAACCACTCCTAGAAAATCCTACACAGGATTGCAGTGAGTCAGAACCGACTCAACTGCACGTAACAACAACAGCAATCAGCTACAACAGCTCAGCAAACAGGCAAAAGGGTGGAGCAGGACTCTGCTCTTCTAAAGAGCCTCAGGAATGGTATAATGCATAGCAAGTATTTAGCATACCCAGCCAGGAGAGGAGTTGGGGCCATCAAGAAACTTGTGACTTAAGTAAAAAATCTCACACTTTAGTGATTATGTTGGCAATCACAAAGTTACAGTTTGCAAATGACCAGGTGTTATGAATTCCCACGAATGACTTTGGAATAAATGCCTAGTTGACTAAGTCTCATAGGAACCCTGGTGACACAGTGGTTAAGCACTCAGCTGCTAACTAAAAATGTAGGCAGTTTGAACCCACCAGCCCTCTGCAGGAGAATGATGTAACTGTCTGTTTCTGTAAAGATTCACAGTCTTAGAAAACCTATGGGACAGTTCTACTCCTATAGGAATCAACTCAGTGGCAGTGCACTTGGCTTTTGGTTTGATCAAGACTCAGAAATCTTAGCAGGTACAGTCTTGAAGACTGGACTCTGAGAATGGATGAAAGGAAGCAAGAATACTATTGAAGGTACAAAAGAAAAACACAGCAAACCTAGAGAATCCAGCATGTGAGTACAAGAAGGGATCATGGAGAGGCTTGAATTCACACAGTCCCCATTTTCTCCTGTGGAAACTGAAGTCCCCAAAGCTTAAGTGTTCTGTCTAGTAGAGGTCTGTGGTATTCACCTCCACAGTTCTCACACTTTAGAATTTAAATGACAAGTCACAGCAATGCCAATATATTCAGTCCCACTTTCCTAATGCATTCAACTCATTGTTAATACTAAAAATGCTCTTTCTGCATTGAGTTTTTGAGGATCAGCCAAACCGAAAGTCAAACACATTGTCATTGAGTTGATTCTGACTCATAGCGATTCTGTATAGGGTTTCTGAGATTGTAACTCTTTACAGAAATAGAAAGCCTCATCTTTCTCCCATGGGGCAGCTGGTGGGTTTGAACTGCAGACTTTGCAGACAGCAGTCCAATGCTTATCCTACAGCACCACCATGGATCAAAGATGATTCAAAAAGCAAAAGAGCCCCAACACTCTAAACCTGAAATCCAAATTTTAAAAAAGAATAAGAAAGCAAATGTTTTGGATTTATGACATTGTCCTGGTGCACCATATCCCTGAGAGAAAATGGTAAGATTTAAATACGTGCTTACTGGTTTTTTTTTCTCTTTGTCTCAAAAATGTTGAAAATAAAAGGCAATCAATTTGGAATCCCAAAACTATCTTATTAAAGATATGTTATTGATACGGACTCAACTTTCAGAGCTTGATATTATAGAAAGCAAGAACCAGGAACACGCTGGAATATTTGAAAAATGAATCTAACAAGTCTATGATTAAGCTGGAAGACTTCTATCAGGGATATGCTTTTTAACATGGAGAAGAGTTAGAACGCAGCCGTTAACCAGTGACTGGGGTCAACCTCAGGTGCTGACATGAAAAATTTAGTGAACTGGGCAAGAGAGCTTAAGCTAACACCCAAGGTCATAGGGAGTTATTAGATACTTATTTGAAAAGTGATAAGTGTGTGTGCATTCTTATTTGTGTTCAAGACAGGGTGAACTGTAAGCTTGGTACATCCAAATTCTTAACTTGCTCTTGCCATTAGAAAGACAATGTCCTCTTTATATCCTTGACAGATTAATAATTCACTCCTGTGTGGTGCTGTGGGTTAATGCACCAGACTGCAAAGTCAATTTGAACTACAAAGTTGGCAGTTCAAGCTCACAGTATCTCCATCAGAGTGCCGTGTCCCACCTGGTCCCAACTTTACTATTTTCATTTTGTGTTTTGTGTCTTTCTTTTTTTCTAATCTCCTGTAGCCCCTACTCCGGTTTAATCTCTCTGCAGGGGTCATGGAGTACAGCCATTGTGGGACACAGCAGATGGATACGCTTCTTGGAAAACCCTATACAGGATTGCTATGGGTTGGAACAGACTCAATGGCATGTAACAACAATAAAAATTAAAATAAAATTACAAAAGTAATTTTCTTGCAGTACTAGAAGGGGTGGTAGTGAGCAGGGGAAAGGGGTCAGAAACAAATGATTTTTTACAAAAATTCTCTACTGTCCCAATGTTTGAAGGAGAATGTTCTCTGGCCAGAGTCATACTGCAGATAATTAGACTCTGAGATAATTTAAAATGAGATTGCATGTGCATCCAAGCTCTGGCATTTTAAAACTCTGGAGAATATGTGTCTCCTTCCTCATAGCATCTGGTAGTAATGTGATGTGAGCAATGACTAAATGAGTGATTACTGACCTGATATTGGGCACCTGAGGTGGGGAAGAGAAGTTTGACTCACCTGTACATTTTGCAGAAATGTGGCACAGTGGAGCTGGTCACTCAAGTCAGCCTGTATTTGCCAGTCTGCTGAGTGGCTGGCCTCAGTCTCCAACGTGTACAGCTCAGGCTGGGTACGACGACCATACCACTTGGAGCCGTTTACATACTTTGGTAGGACAGCCTGTGAGATAGCTGGGAAGGAAAATGGGGAACATGGTAGGGAGCCCCTTAAATCAGTTCTCTGAGCTACTCAAGCCAACACAGTGCCATTTGAGAAGGCACAGATTTGGGTGTGTAATATGCTTTCATGAATGCATGCTTTTACAAACAGAAAGTGTTGAGAAAAGCAAGAGAAACTAGTTCTCTCAGTTACCTATGAACTGGGGTGGGGGACTGAGAATGCAGGTGAGAAAGCATCATTCATTCTCAACTCTATGCACTGCTTGAACTTTGCTTTTGTTTATATAATAAAAGACTAACAGCTTTTTATGCACAGAAAAATGTCTCCCATAGTCTCACAGTATATGGCTTTAGAAATTGGAGATCATCTTACAGAGCCACATGTCCTAGGATTACACCTCAACTGATGACTGAGGAAGGGAGAGTGGTGGGTGAGACCTTTAGGCATACGTGTGGAGTTAAGACACAGCTAGGTAGATGACTGTGAAGCTCAGCAGCACTTCTGACAAGTCTGGGATCAGAGACAGGATCCTAAACAGTCCCTCCACTTCCTTCTGCACACCTTCTCTACATCTGCAAAATGTAGCTGGAACCTTTCAGGCAGAGAAGAAATTCATGATGACCCAATATTAAGTTGTCATAAATCTGGAACCCGGGGGATGGTAGGAAAGGGACTGAGGATGGGGTGGCATGTAACTCAGCCTTGACAAGACATAGCTTCAGAGGTAGGGAATAACCAGAAAAGAATCAATTTGAGAGACGATGGCAGGGCTCCAATGAGGTAAGACTAGTCAGAAAACTAGATGAACATTCATTGCAGATATGCCTTAGGTCTCAACTACAACAGAAGTCATGTTGTTGGAGACTTGATGGCAAACTGCCATCTCATCTATTTCTGCCTAACCTTCGTCTGGAAGCTCTGCTAAAACTTTTCCACCATGGATGACTCTACTGGTATTTGAAATACTGGTAGATGGCTTTTCAGAATCATAGCAGCAACATAGTCTGACAAATTGACAGGCAGACTGGTTTGAAGCAAGGCCTGGGTTTACCAGCTTCTTAGTAAAATCCCAGTAGCTGTAGGACCACTAGCATCTGGCTAGCAATTCAAGTAGTGGAATCTGTACCTTTTTGGATGGGTTTTTGGTAATGAACACTGGGAAGAACACCATCCACTAACAAGGGGTGGTGTTCAGGCAGGACATAAGAAACATTTAAATAAGAGAGGCTTTGGAATTCTATTTAAAACAAAACAAAACAACAACAACAACAACAAAAAAAAAACCCAACCAGAATCAGTCCTAAACAGCACAAGTCCTAAAATAGTTTCTGATTACTTTAGAGGAACTGAGAACATGTCCCTCAGAACAATACTGCCTTAAGCTAGAACTACCAGACATCCAGGATAGAACGTCTGTTTACTCTAGAATGGAGAGGCAAACACACACTGTCAATGACACAATGCACTGACTGTTTAAGAGACTTTCAAATACTTGGTCATGCAATTATATCAGAATTCTGTGAGTGTGAAAAGATAAGTGCCTTCTTCACATCTTAACAAGGAAAAGTATTAAAAGAAGCAATTAATGCCTCACCTAGGGCCAGGCAGATCCCAGGCCTTCCTCTACCACTGTACAGTGCTTTTCACTTAACCCAGGTATCTTTGCAATCAACAGGAGTCTCAAATTGAGAGTCAATTTGAGCCGTCACTGTAAAGGACAGGGTTCTAGCAGTGATGCCTGTAGAAGAGCCCAGGGAACTAAAGCTGTGAAACCTGGACCCAAATTCTGGCCTGCATGGACTAGTTGTGGGATGTTGCATAATCCCTTTATGCTTCTGGGACTCAACTTCCTTTTCTGAATACTACGTATAGTAATACTTCAAGATGTCTATGGAATTTATATAAGGGTTAAATTAAATACATGTAAGATGTATATGGACTCCTGGTGTGGCGCTGTAGGATAAATACTGGACTGTGAACCACATGGTCGGCAAGTCAAATTCACCAGCTGCTCCTTGGAAACCCTTTACAGGGGTTGCGATGAGTTGGAACTGACTCAACGGCACTTAACAACAACAACAACAACAACAACAACAACAACAACAAGATGTACACAAAGTTCAATGCCTGGCACATAAAAGACACTCTGAGGTCTCTTTTTCATTTATCCCAGGTCCTTCCCAACACTGCCATCCCATAGTATCTCCTTTCCTACATCCTTTTATACCATCCCATAGTCCATGGCAGTGGCAGATGGTGAGGATGAAGGGAAAGGACTCCCCCTGCTTCTGCCCTGTGCGAATCAATACCACGTCGTCCTCTTTGCTCTTTACACACTTTCCCCTTTCGTAAGGGAACATACCCACAGCCATTGCATCCATTCTCATCAGAGCCAAGTTTAAGGTTACTAAGCATGTCAGGCAACTGCTATTTGGCTGCTTGAGTCCAATGGAGCAGTAAAACCTAATGAGTATTTCAGTCATCATCGTCCAACTATCATCACACACAATCTCTATACTCTTGACCTGACAACCATTGTACTTGATTCTCCCTTCAAAACTCTTCCAACTGAGTCTGTTGTTACTCTCCTTTAACCTCCTGACCTGAACCAAAGACCAGTGGTTTCGTCTATTCCTCAAGATGCTTCCTCCCTTGAGAATACCACTTCTGTTTATAAGGATTATGTTTATTCCACAAAAAGTCATATTAGTACAGAACAACATTACTGTCTGACACAAAACATACACTAAGTCTTTCTATGGGATTATGACAATCTTTCCTGCTTTGCCAACAATAGAGTGCAATGACAAGAACACCTTACATCAGCATTCTACTTATAGCTCTTAAAATCTTTAGCCCCGCCACATACATTTATTAATTTTATCTTGTCAACAACCCTATATGTAGGTATAACCCATTTTATTTTAAATATATATAAATTAAAGAAGAAAAAAACAAGATCATCTGGATTGGTAGTAATAGAAAATGGTGTTTAGAATTTCATTTTCATGACAGCTGCATTCTTCAATTAAGGAGCCCTGGTAGTGCAGTGGATTAAGAGCTGGGCTGCTAACTGCAAGGTCAGCAGTTTGAATCTACCAGTGGCTCCACAGGAGAAAGACAAGGCTTTCTACAGCCTCAGAAAACCTATACAGGGTTCCTATGAGTCAGAACTGATTCGGTGGCACACACCCACCACCACCACCACATTCTTCAATTAGAATATTTTATGCCAAAAAGTAACAAATAATAAAAAGAAGCTAAATTCCATAAGAAATTTGCTTACCTGGTTCCAAAGAACTACTTTCTTCATCAGAGGGGGCAACAATAGGATTTGATGATAGCACTGCCACAAAACCTTCTTTAAATTCTTCAAAGTTCACCTAAGTGAATTTAAGAGAGTTCAAAGTTGTTTTGAAAGATCCATACATTTAATAGTCAGTCTTTTAATTTTTTACAGATGGAAACATCATATTGTTTTTTCCACTGAAAATAGTTCATTTTTCAAATATGTAAGACTTTCAAAAAATAATGAAAATATGAGTGAATCACAATCCCTCCCACCACTAAATATATACTATCAATTTTTTAAAAAGTAAAACAAAAAAATTAGAACAGTGTAGAAAAAAGTGATCTGATGGTCATAAAATCGTAATGTATATAAAGAAAACATCCATGCAGTCACCCTGAGAAATAGAACACTGATCGTACCTAAGAAGGACCCTCACCTCTCATCTGTCAGCTTGTAGTACTGTGGAGGCTAATGTATTGCTGTGATGTTGGAAGCTAAGCTACCAGAATTTAAAATACCAGCAGGGTCAAACATGGGGAGAGGTTTCAACAGAGATTTCAACTAAGCCAGACTAGGAAGAAAGAGAGGCAGATCACTTCTGAATCGTTAGCCACTGAAAATCTTACAAATAGTAAGGGGACAATGTCTAATACAGTTCTGGAAGATGAGCTCCTAAAGTTGGAAGACACTGAAAATATGACTGGGGATGATCTGCCTCTTTAAAGAAGAGCTGACCTACATGATGTGGATGGAGTAAAGCTTTCAGGATCTTCATTTGCTAATGTGGCACAACTCAAAATAAAAACAAACAGCTAGAAACATACATTAATAATCAGAAATGTGGAATGAATGAAGTATGAACCTAGGAAAATTGGAAGTCATAAAAAATGAAATGGAATGCATAAAGATAGATATTTTAGGTATTTTTGTTATTAGGTGCTATCAAATTGGTACTGACTCATAGCGACCCTATGCACAACAAAACAAAATCACTGAACAGTATCGTTAACATCACATGCAAATAAAGTTTTGCTGAACTTAATTTTTAAATGGTAATAGCAGTACATGGACACAGAGCTACCAGAAATCAAATAGGATGTGGAAGAAGGAATATCACTGCTGACATCAGATGAACGTTGGCAGAAAGCAGAGAAAACCAGAAAGATGTTTACTTGTGTTTTATTGTCTATGCACAGATCTTCAACTGTATGGATCATAACAAATGTGGAGAGCACTGAGAAGAAAGGGAATCCCAGAACACTTAATTGTGATTATGAAGAATCTGTACACATAGAATAAGAGGCAGTTATTCAAAGAACAGGGGATACTGAATAGTTTAGAATCAGGAAAGGTGTGTTTCAGGGTTGTATTATTTCACCCTACTTATTCAATCTGTTCGGTGAGCAAATAATTGGTGAGAAGCTGGATTATATACAGATGACACAATCTTGCTTGCTAGAAGTGAAGAGGACTTAAAATTCTTACTGATAAAGATCAAAGACTACAGCCTTTAGTATAGACTGCACCTCAATGTAAAGAAAACAAAAATCCTCACAACCGGACACATAAATAACATCATGATAAATAGAGTAAAGTTTGAGGTTGTCAAAGACTTCATTTTGCCTGGGTTCACAATTAATGTTCATGGAAGCAGCTGTCAAGAAATCAGGTGTATAGCAATATCGAAGATGTCTTCATCATTTGGCCCCACGTATGTCCCTCCACATTCATAGGTATTTGCTGCAAGTGTAAATACCCATGTACAAATATTCTCTGTCAAACTCTCATATATTTGTGGATATAATCCAACTCTCCCATACTATTCAGGCTGTGTATTTGTCCATCTACCTAACAATAAAACACTGTTGTTTCAGGGTTGTGTATACAGCAGCATTTACCTCTGTGCCCTTTAACCCTTGCATTCCTCCCTGTGTCTTTGCCTATCTTCATCCTTCTGCCAACCTCCCTCTTGTACACTGTTGTCCTTGTCACTTGAGTTAACATGCAACTATATTCTAGCCAGTTGAGACCTCTGACTTTGTGGTTCATAGTCCCATGCTTATCCTACAGAGCCATAACACCCATGTATATATTTATATAATATATAACATGTATGTATGTTTTAATTTTAATTTTCTTCAGCTTCAGTCTGAAATTACATAGGAGCAATTGACAGTTTGTTCTACATGATGGCCCTGACCTTGTTTTGGCTGATAGTATGGAGCTTTTCCACCATCTCTTTCCACATTTGTAGTCAATTTGATTTTTGGGTATTCTATCTGGTGAGGTCCATGTGTATAGCCATGTTTTGTGTTGTTTAAAAAAGGTATTTGCAATGAACAAGTCAATGGTCTTGAAAAATTCCACCATGTCATATCCAGTATTGTTTCTATTACCAAGACCATGTTTCCCAAATACTTTGTTTCCAACTTTTCATTCCAATAACCAGTAATTATCAATACATCTTGATTGCATGTTTGATCAGTTTCAGACTGGAGAAGTTGGTAGAATTCTTCAATTTCATCATCACTGGCTTCAGTTTTTGGTGCATAAATTTGAATTAATATGCATTACTGGTCTTCCTTGTAGGTGTATATATAGATAATATTCTATCACAGATAGCATTAAACTTCAAGATGGATTTTTTTTTTAAGTTTTTATTCTTTTATTGAGTGAAGGCTTACAGGGCATATCATCAGTTTTACATTCAACAAATCATATACCTTGTTTCATTACAATGATATACCATCAGTTAATAGTATTTCTCTCTATCCACTTTAGCTTTTTAAAAACAAACAAACCAACAAACATAAAATCACTCAGGCATATATATTAATTTACATCTCCACATTCTGCAAGTCTGCCTCCTGGCCACCAGCTCTTAGTCCCTCTCTTCTTATTCCATGAATCTAGAGTCCTCAGCCACTCCCCCTCTCCATGCTGCCATCTCTGCCTCCATCTCTGGCACTGCTGCTTCTCTGGATAAGGTCCCACATTCTGTTTGTGCGCTTCTCTCTTGATGGTCCTAGGATCCTCTGTTTCTGGACTTTAAGATTAACCACTACCCTGTTTTTGTTACAAAACTTCTACCTTTACAATTGTGACAGTGGCAATTAGTCATGATAACAATTATTCACTATTGAATCTTATGAATCTTATCCCCATCTCTTTTCACCCGACCCATCTAGACAAGATGACAATATTCAGTGGGGACTCTTTCTTTCCCCCATACTCTTAAACTACACTCCCTCTTGAAACCTTGTAAGCCAGTCACTTCGTGCCTTTATTGCCCCCTCATTTTACATAGCCAATGTTTAAGTTGCCCATCCCCATCTACCCTGTGTACAGAGCCGATAGCATTGATATTTGATGTGAAGACTCTTTCCCTCTCTGTTGGTAGAGTAACTACCGCTCTGAGTATAGGTCAGGTTCATCAAATTGAAGCAATTTACCCTTGTTTCCTTTATTAAAAAATTTTTTGTTGTTGTTGTTTTTCAATCTTCTTTTAGTTCTGATTATCGAGCCATCGAGGCTAAGTCAAAAGGGTACTGTCTGCAAGTTTGGGTGTTCTTGTGCATCTCCCCTCACTTCATATCAACAGGATGCTTCACTCTTAGCTCTAGACCTCTATGGCTAAGTCCTTGTCCAAGGGCTCAAGTGTCCTCAGGTCTCACCACACTTTGGACCAACCAGCCCTTCCTCTTCTCGCTCATCTCCAGGCCAACAGGATTCAATGGACTAGGGTTGAACTCAGCCCATTTCTTCATTGATGCCTTTCTGCCTCTTCCACTCACCAGTAGACCAGTGTGGTCACCAGCAAACTTACGTGTTTGTTTGTGTATTCCTTTGAGTTTCAGTTTTAGAGGGAGTTTGTCCTGAAGGCACTTGATTGCTAGTTTTGATGTCTTCCTGGCGAACAGCTTGCTTATTCTTGTAGTAGCCAGTCATGCCGACATTTTTGTTTTGGGTTTTTCCTGATGATCTTTCTTTAAAGATGTGTCTTCTGTCACTGTAGCTGTTCCAGTCTACTTGTCCTTTCTAGTGGGAATGTCCCACCTCATTAGGTCCTGGATGGGACTCAGGATTCCACCTAAGGTCCTATACTCTGGAAAGGCTTTGCACAAGGCCTATTTCACTGGGCAAGTTGTAGAACCCCTTTTAGGTATTTCAATCAGTTATAGGCTTAAGACGGGCTTACAAGTTTTCTCTAATCATGTTCCCCAACACTCCTTTCTATCCCACTCAAGTGTCTATTTTACAATAGTAGGCAAGGGAAACTAATATTCATAAGGCAGTCAAGGATTTTACTATTATTTACCCTCTTCAAGCTATACCTAGATCCCTGTATCCCAGAGCCCAGTTGTTCCAAGGTTGATTATGCATCACTATTTACCCCTGTCCCACTAGGCCATGCAAACCTGTCTCAGTGTTCCCCTATCTATCTTGTTCTTCTGTCTCCTCCCCGCTTCTTGTATTGCCCTCCCAACACCCAAAATAAACCCCCCACCCCAACCGCATTGTGGTTACCTTATATTCCATTTGTTCTACCCTCCATTTAAGACAGTCTATTTTATCCTGTAATCTACCTGACCTTCTCACCTGGATCTCTGTTCCTCTGTGTTTACCTTCTTTCACACTGTAATTGTTTTGATCATATACTGATCTCCCAGATCCTCTGTTCTTATAATTTTATTTGGTTCTTGACTCTCATTTGTTCTGTGTGTCCTTTGTTGAAATCATGGTTCTTGTGTTCTTTCTTGTGAGTTTCCTCATAGTTTTAATATTTCCATGTTCTTCTTGGTTTTTCATTTTCTTGGTATGTTGTTTAAGGTTAATTTTCTTTGAGGTTACCTTATATTCCATTAACTTTTGCCTCCATTTAAAGCTGTCTATTTTATCCTGTAACCTACCTGACCCTTCTCACCATCTGGAGCTCTGTTCCTAAGTGTTTACCTTCTTTTACATTGTAATTGTTTAGATCATAGACTGACCTCCCAGATTCTCGGAGTTTGTTCTTATAGTTTTGTTCTGTTCTCCACTCTTCCTTCTGTCGATTTAGTTCTGGGAGGTCCTGCTATGCATGTCAATCTC